GTCTCATACTTCCCAGTCCTCTTCCCCGGACGATACAAAGCAGACGGCGAAACAAAACTCCAATCAAAGTTCTTCCGGTCTTCGAAGAACATGTACGCCGTCCGCCCCGCTTTGATAAAGTCTGATGCGTTATCTTTGGCGCGAATCTGTTTCTCGTACTCTGCTATCACAGTTCTGTCTTCTTCCGTGGTTGCACCAGAGCTCTCTGCTAACCTAGCTTCACGGTATCGTCGCAGTGAGGTACCCATGATACCGAGGCGCTCTTCCATGTATGCAATGTGCGCTAGGGATGTGGAGATGGCGCGGCGGTAGGCGAGGAAGAAGTCTGGGTGGTCGACGCAGGAGATGTTTGTGCCAGGAACGTGGAGGGAGCCTGCGCCGCCGACGAAAACAAAGTACGATGCGGGCCGTAGCTTGTAGGCGAGCAGGATCTTGCGAACGGATTCTAGGAACGGCACTGTTTTGGATCAGTCATTGGTTACTGGTATCTTGAATTGGCTGAAACGTACTGTACAACAAAGCCCCAGGACCAGCTGTGTGCGGTCCGAATTCGCTGACTAGAACATCGAGGCCTTTGAAAACTTCGGATAGTTCCTCTATGGAGACTGCATTTACATCTACTGGCCTGGGAATGTAGCGAGGATGTTTCCCTACTTTCTCGGGGTTGCGTGATATGCCAATAACGGTATGGCCTCGGTTCAGCAGCTCAACGGTGAGATAGGAGCCGCCGAATCCTGCGGGACCGATAACGCCTACACGTATTGGCTTCGAAGACATGGTGGATTAGATCAGAGTTGAAAGCTTTTGCGATTGCGCCTGATTTTTGGACCTGCGTGTCAAGTAAGTGGGTACCTGTCGCGCTGTGTTCACATGACCGTAACGCGATCTCGTCAAGTGCAAGGTTACGCGTGCTCAATGGCAACGATTTCGGAGTAGTACGCCGAGGTTGTTGTATTGGGGAAAGGCAATTGGGGAAGTGAGGGGACAATGTGGGGCATTGGTAAACACCAAATGACGCTAGCTGATTCAACGAGTACGGGAGAAGGAACTTGATGGATGCAGTAAAAAATTAGGGTCTTGAATAGAGGTAACTTTTGGAAAGCGATCTTACCATCATTTAAAGAAAGGGCATCATTTGAAAGTATGGCGTTGGCAGATAACTATGCATTCATCGGTGAGCGCTCCAATTTAGTACCTTAGTAGGCATTACTAACAATGGCAAGGTCTCGGAGCGATGGGCTACGCGATGGCAGCCAATATCCGCAAGAAGATAGACCCATCTTCGACCCTCTACATCAACGACATCAACGAGTCGGCATGCTCCCGCTTCAAAACCCAATACTCGTCCCACGGCCCTATAGAGATCGTCGCTACAGCACGCGAAGCAGCGGAGAATGCGAAAGTACTGATATCCATCGTACCTGGAGGAGAAGATGTAAAGAAAGTGTATCTAGACGAGAAAGACGGTGTGATTGCCGCGAAGAGAGATCAAGAAAGGATAATGCTAGAGTGCAGCACAATCGACGTGAACACTACGAAAGACGTAGGACAAAAGCTGAAGGAAGTGGAGATGGGTACATATATCGACGCCCCCGTATCCGGCGGCGTCCCAGCAGCAGAAGCAGGCACACTATCGATGTTGATCGGCCACCCACCGCCAGCGCAAACACCAACTTCCTCAGCTTCTCCAGACTCTCGAATTACAACGACCCTCACTATGCTTGGCCCACCATCCAAAGCCTTCTACCTGAACACCCTCGGCGCCGGCCTCACCGCTAAGATATGCAACAACTACCTCTCCGGCACCATTCTCCTCGCCACCGCCGAAGCCCTCGCGATAGGCGTATCTCACGGTCTCGACCCCTCCGCTTTATACTCCGTGATCAAGAACAGCACTGGTCAGTCTTGGATGTGCGATCATGTCATGCCCATTCCCAATGTGCAGAATGAGTATTGGGTGCCGAGTAACAGTGGGTATAAGCCGGGGTTCAAGACGCAGATGATGCTGAAGGATTTGGGATTGGGTATTGAGAGCGCGGGTCAGGTTGGGGTGAGGCCGAGTATGGCGGAGAGGGCGTTGGAGGTTTGGGAAGAGGCGGCGAAGGACGAGAGGTGTGTGGATAGGGATGGTAGCAGTATATATTTGCATGTTGGAGGTCTTCTACCGAAGGGATACGAAGACAAAGGGAGGAAGAATGAGCATGGAACGTGGGAGTTTGCGGAGTAAGGCTTCTGTCATCTTTAATATACACAGTGGTGTTGCGAACCCGTTCTGATGCACTCATGTAGTCTTCATGCCGTCTACTTTCCTTGAAAGAAGTTCTGGAAGACCTCCATAATGGCATCAAATCCAGCCGTCTCTCCCAGCTTGAGTACCCTCTCATCTCTTCCAATCTTCGCTGGATCACCATCTGGAACCCATCTGCTCGTGACACCATCGGCACTAGGCCCGTAGACCTTGGCACACAACTTGTCGGTCTTCACAGGCGGCCAAGGATCCTCCCCGTTGACAAATTTGATGAAGTCTTCCCCGTACTCTCGTGCTACTTTCTGTTGCGCATCGTCCAGGTGCTCGTTGTAGTTCTGGAAGAGGTACGATACATCGAGAATGTGGCCTGCTTCACCCTTGAAGCGACCTTCCCAAGGAATTCCTTCGTTGAAGTGATAGAGGAAGAATTTCGAGTCGGGTGTATTGGGCCAGCCTTGGGCGAAGGCACGAGCGGGCGCGTAGAAGGATATCTCGGAACCAAAGCGCAGTATTGAAAGCATAGCCTCTTCGTCCGGAGTCTCGGGGGTTATCTTGTAGGATGCAAAAAGCTGTTCCGCAACCTCTGGCTTGGCGGACAGTGTGGCGTTGCAGGAGTCGATGAACTTTTGCGCGACGCCCGGCTTGCGAGCATCGAGGCCAAGGTATGCAATGATGTTCGCCTAAAAGGATGAGCTCACATATTTCGGCATTCACGGTATGGAACTTACGTCCAGCTTTGACTCTCCAATCATGAAGGCCTTGCACCACTTCCTGCCCGGCATCATGAAAGCTGGGCTGTCTTCTTGAGATGAGACATTAAGGAAATCTGGTGATCCCGGCATGGTCTCTTTGTCGACTGAAGGTAACATCGGTGCTGTAGGTGGCACCTTTTGCCATAGATCATCCAGTGGTATACTGAGTAGGGCCTTGATACAATCCTCTGGCGACTTGTCCGTCAGGCCAAATGCTTCGACCGCTTTTTGATACGATGATTCTGCCACGAAATCGGGAATGGGCTTGAACAGTAGCACAGCTCCTCCAGTACTGAGACAGCGCTTCATGAGCGGTTCTTCCGAGCAGAGCAATACTGTCGCAGACACTGAGTATGTTAGTCCAGTTCTTATGCCATCAGTGTCAATAACATACGCCCACCGGCGCTCTCTCCGCATACTGTGATCTCATCTGCATCACCTCCGAATCCGCCTATGAACTTTCTGATCCACTGTAGAGCCGTGCGCTGGTCGTGAAAGGCGTTGTTCGCTTTGTATCCTGCTTTGCGCAATTCTTCGGAAGTCGCAAACCCTGTGAAACCCAGTCGATAGCTGTATCTGTTAGTAGACGAGGTGTGCTTCAGGTAGTAAGACCCACTTGATGGTAATGCCGATGATGGGCTTTTTCCTCTCGACAGACATCTTCACAATGGGAGTTGGATCGTAGTGCGGATACCAGCTACTTCCAACAGCAAAGCCGCCTCCATGTATGAAGACAAAGACAGGCAACTTCGCGTTGGAATCAATAGCTCCATCTTTGTTGGTCGGCACAGTGATGTTGAGGTTCAGACATTCGAGGTCGGAATGCGTCGGAACCTCTGGAAGTGGTAAGGAATGTTGAATGAAGCCGAACTCGCGTTCAATGGCACCGACTGGAGATACTGGAGGAGGACTATTCAATTAGTAAATGGTGACCGGCGTCACCAGTTGACGTACCCAAATTTAGTGGCATCCGTAGTTCCAGATCCATAGCTGTCAACGAGCTGGGGTGCAGCCAAGCGATCTTCTAACGAAGCATACTTCAGGCCAAGGAATTGGACTGCGCCATCTACTGGCTTTCCTTCTATTTCACCTAGGTGTTGGTGCTTGAGCGTCTCCGACATGTTGGCTGCTGCGTGGGATGGGATGGTAGGAAGCAAAGGATCGTTCCATAGACTAACGGATTGTTTACTATTACCTAGTGTCTATTTGGATTGGCCGAAGGAAGTTGCGCATCCCTGGAGCTGCTTCTCTGGAAGCAGGTACGTTGGGGGCAATGATGGTCCGATAATTACCCCGCACCTGTACCTGCCATTTCAGTAGTGGGGCAATCACCCGCGACCAAACATCGCGTGCGGGATGTGGGGGTACTACAGCGACTGCGCCTTGCATCGATGAGGATATCGTAATTCGCTCGATATCTGAGCTCGGCAATTAGCAAGCATGTGTTCGGCTAGATAGGGTGCTACCTAGGTAGATGTACACGTTACACGCAGTCAGTTTCTTGCACAAATGACACCAACAATGCAGGCCGGCCTCCCTCAAACTGACGCCTTTGTCAGTCTTGCTCTCCTCGATGGCGGCAGCTTTCTAGGAGATCTGAGCCGCTTGCATGCTGGTGAAAGTGGCACATTTCGCATGTACAACTGGGCGTTTTACATCTCGCACCAGGGAAGACACATACTTTGGGACCTTGGGTTGGATGAGGTGCGTAGGCCAATATCGGGTTTGGCTACCTCAATCTTCTTCTAACTAGTTTATTGAAGGACCGAAGTTGTTATACCCCTTGGGTTAACAAGTTCATGTTGGATCTCGTCAACCACGTCGGGCCAAGGAGAACTATCGTTCAGCAGTTGGCGCAAAGAGGCGTAGCTGCGGAAGATGTCGATACTGTCTTGTTCAGGTATGGTAACAAGGCTGGCGTGAATGAAGTTCGCTGAGCAGCCTGCAGCCACGCTCATTGGGATCATTCGAGGCCTATCAGCGATTTATTTCCAAATGCGATGGCGTACTTTGGTCCCGGTACGAGAGCAGCATGTCAGCCAGGGCATATGAGAGATCCAAGCCTACAGTGGGACGGCCGCTTCTTTGATCCGGAGAACTCGACAGAAAAATGGGATGAGCTACATGGCGCGTGGAAGCCCTTTGGCCCTTTCGAAAGAGCAATGGACTACTTCGGAGACGGCAGTTTCTGGATCCTAGATGCACCTGGCCATATGCCTGGTAACTTGGCTGCTGCTGCAAGACTGCAAGATGGCGAGTGGGTAATACTTGGCAGCGATTGTATGTTATCCCATGGAGTTTCCATTGGCGCTCGCTAACCTTGTGCTAGGCTGTCATTCGCGGTACGTTAAATTGATTGCACCAGGCGTTTGCTGACGTGCATGGTGTATACTATCGGGCGTTTACTGACCGGTCAGGGATTTGCTGGACGGCACGCGAACAATTGCGGAGTTCCAAGGCCCAGGGGCAGTGAGCATGTCACTGCATACAGACCTTCCTTCAGCGAAAGAAACAATCGCTAAGATAGGACTGCTTGAAACCAGTTTTGGTGCTCATACAGCGCTCGCACACGATGCTAGCTGGCTGAAGAAGGGCATGGACCAGGTGCTCATGTCACTGCTGGACGACGAGATGCGAGTTGCAGCCCAGGAAAAGATACCGTATGATGAGATACCGTAGATGGAGTTTGAGGCACGAACCAGATTTAGTAACCGATTGTTGGAGGCCTGATGATCAGTAAACGTGTCGGTGGGTTCGCTACGCGTTTTTTCGTGGCGCGATTGCTGTCCGCAAGTTGGACGCACGAATGTGGAATGCGTCAACGTTATCTTGCTAGATGTCGATAAAGCAACAAGCCAGACGTGAATTGTTTCGAGGTCGCTTAGAGAAGTGAATGCAGACGTCCACTTTGCTGGGCGATGCTCGCGCATAGTCTATTCCAAGGTTGTGAGTTCGCTGTCTCACCCTAGCCAGCACGCTAAAGACGCGCCTACCTGAACACCAACATCATGACGTCTCGCGGCGCAGGGTGCTGTAGCGTCCACACTACAGACAACGCCCCGCCAGCCTTACAAGATATACCGCAACCTAGGAGCCTAAAGCGCGTGTCAAGCAATGGCAACGGAGGAGATGAAAGAGATGTTCAATAGAGAATACGTGGTGACGTCAGTGGCCATGGCTCAGGCAAGCAACGCCATCTTGTCACACCCTGAAGTCCATCTCCAACATCGCAAGCCTCTGACGATACGGGATCGATGCCTCCACGGCTGTATTTTACAAACATGAGCCTTTCCAACACACGCTAAAGATATCCCACCACCAAGCGCCACAGGATCGCCTAGTGCTGATGTACTCCGCTTAAGTGCCAAGATGCCACGATCGGGGGGCCTGGATCAGCACGACCTCATATACCTGGGTACTTCAACCCTCCATACATAGCAGACCTTACACTTTAGCTCTTCACGATGGCTCTTCGTGACCTACCATGGGTGACGATACTCTTCTCTGGCATCATTGCGGCGCTCGCATATGGCGTAATGAGATTGATCCAAGTTCGGCGTTTCTACAAAGATGTCGTACGTTGGCAGCATCCGGCACGATCTACATTGAAGACAGCACTGACAGTACATCAGCCCAAACCGCCTCATAGCTTCTTCTTCGGCCATTTGAAACTGCTCGGCGAGACCTTCAAATCGCTACCCAGTGATGTGCATTATCAGGCAGCGGTGGTTACGATCGCCAGGAAGTACAACATGCCAGGTGTCTTCTACCTCGATTTGTGGCCTGCCTCATTTCAGCAAGTTGTGGTGACAGATCCGGATGTTGCACTTGACATGACAGTCATCCGGAATCACCCCAAACATGAAATGGAGGCAACTATGGTCGACCCCTTGATTGGAAACGGCAACATCGTCACAACCAACGGCGCACAATGGAAGTATCTCCATAAGATGTTGAGTCCTGCTTTCGCCACTTCGCACATCACCAACATGAGGCCGATGGTTGCTGACGAGGTTATGAAATTTCGGTCGAAGCTTTCTGAGAAAGCTGAAACGGGCGAGGTTTTCAGGTTGGAGGACCATACCCTGTGCATGACGTTTGATGTCATATCGACTATGACCTTTGGCCGATCTCTTGACGCGCAGACCAAAGGTAGCCCTGCTCTGCAGCACTTTGAAAAGATGTGCCGTGCTTTTATGATCACGCGAGAGTCTCATAACTACATCCGCAACTTCTTCGTCAACCGGACAGTTTTCGCCGAACGCGCAAAGTTTGATGCTATTGTGGAAGGGCTCATCAAAGAGAGATTCGAGATAGTCAAACGTAAGAAGCCCAATGGAGTCCCTGCATACTTGAACTTCGTGCGGCTAACACATAGCTGCAGGCGACAAGCTCGATCTCTCGGAGAAGCGAGGACTAGGGATCATGGACCTCATCTTGCGAGACTATATTGCAGAGCGACAGGGTGACGTAAAGGAGCTCGACCCCCAATTCACCAAAGATGCTCTCACACAAGTAAAGACTCTTTTGATCGCTGGACTTGGAACTACGTCGGATACCATCTGTTTCGGAGCTATGCTGCTTAGCGTTCACCCTGAAGTGGTACAAAGGATGCGCGAAGAGCACGACCGTGTTTTCACCCCTGGTATCGAAGCGACGTACGAGATGCTTAAAAGGGAGCCGTACAAGCTGAATGAGCTCACCTATACGAACAACGTCATCAAGGAAGTCCTGAGGTTCTATCCGATAGGAAATACCGCACGCAAGGGCATCGATACTCTCACGTATCAGGGTCGCGAATGGCCGACCAAAGATCGCATGATCTGCCCCGTCCAACTGGCTATGCATATGGATCCAGCGATATTCCCAGGCAAGTGACATCTATCGATCCTTCTTTGTAACACACATCCGGTGGCTAATGCTTCGACCAGATCCGCTCAAGTTCGACCCAGATCGGTTTACACGAGAAGACCATCCGCGGCACGCCTGGCGTCCATTCGAGAGGGGACCGCGAGCGTGCCTGGGCCAACCGCTGGCTATGGACGAGTTCGTGATCGTATTCCTGCTGACAATACGCGATTTCGACTTTACTTGCGCGGATCTGAAGCCCAACAAGACGCCTCGAGCAGAGTGGAATAATCTGGATCTGACATTCGGTGATCGCGCCTACCAGGAATTTGTTTTCGAGGCTAAACCACGAGATGGCATGCCGATGACCGTTAAGAAGTCTAACTGGCCACAGTAAGCGCGGCAACGGCTGCCAATTCGGGTCAATAGACGACATCAGTGGCGGTCGCTAGTATGGACCATCCCAGGGCTCCTGCTCCGCAACGCATGTGTGTATGTATTGACTCGGGAGGGGCGGATGGCGGATTGGGTCGACGTGTCATGGGAAATTAGGAAATGTGCCATGGTTGTCATACCTAGGCACGGTCAAGTCTTATTGCCTGATGCACGTTGACAAACTGCCGCGCGACACTGACGGAACCTGGGGTAGGTAACTTCCAAGGTTGGAAGCATGGCTGTTGAGGCATAAGCAAATACCATCAAGGTTCCATCCCGTCTTCCGTCAGCCCACATTGGCGCATCCCTTGCGGATGCTCGGCTGATGCTTATGCGAGACCATCCTGCAATTCCAGTATTTCACCGACGTCTTGTGCGTGTAGTTGCCGTGCCTTAAACTTACCGCTTCTCGGGTGTGATGCTTACAGTCGTAGATTTACATTCAGCCTGAATGCATAGCCAGGTGCAGCGAATCGGAGGGCGGGGAGATCCACTTAGCGCGAACCCCTCACAGATTTTGCAAGTACCATGGGGCTCCGCATGCGGCTCGGGTACAATCTTGGCTGCCGTATGCCTCTGGGCCAAGCATCGGGAGTGGCTTCGGACACAAGACTGGCTCGGCGCTCGGAAATAAGTGGACTTGCGACCGCTGCTCAACCGCGTGGCCGACGAGACCATGACGTACGGGAATCGTGGGCTATGGTGTTTACCAACCGCGTGCTGACGCAGGGTCGGTGACTACGGCTATTTACTGTGCTATAAGACATGGAGTGAGGACGACGACGAGCTGCATCCGGACCATCCGAACCAAACCAGACAACCGGCGTCATGTTTACCTCGACGCGTGCGCTGCAAGTGTTGGCCTTCGCTGCCACAGGAGCGTATGCTCAATACGTATTCCCGGACTGCAGCAGTGGACGTTTGAGCAATGAGACCATCTGCGATCCTTCGGCATGTACGTTCATCTCCACTCACACAACAATTTGGTCATACTGATCCCTTCCAGCTCCGCTAGCTCGTGCGAGAAACCTCGTGTCTCTCTACACTCTCGAGGAGAAGATCAATGCTACGAGCAGTGGCTCGCCAGGCGTTGCCCGTCTCGGCATACCACCTTACCAGTGGTGGAACGAGGGTCTTCACGGAATTGCTGGCCCTTACACCAACTTCAGCGATGAGGGAGAGTTTAGCTACTCCACCTCGTTCCCCCAGCCCATCTTGATGGGTGCGGCTTTCGACGATGAACTCATCACCGAAGTTGCAAAGGTCATCTCCACCGAAGCGCGTGCTTTCAACAACGCGAACAGGACAGGTCTTGACTTCTGGACACCCAACATCAACCCGTTCCGTGACCCTCGCTGGGGACGCGGACAGGAGACACCCGGTGAAGACTCTTACCATCTGTCTTCTTACGTCCAGGCCTTGATCCACGGTCTTCAGGGTGACGCGTCTGACCCATACAAGCGTGTAGTCGCAACTTGCAAGCACTTCGCAGGTTATGACGTCGAGGACTGGAACGGAAACCTTCGCTACCAGAACGATGTGGAGATCTCTCAGCAGGATATGGTTGAGTACTATCTCGTTCCATTCCAGGCCTGTGTCCAGGCGAACGTCGGTGCTTTCATGTGCAGCTACAATGCGGTCAATGGTGCCCCACCATGTGCCGATCCTTACCTGCTGCAGACCATTCTGCGTGAGCACTGGGGCTGGACGAACGAAGAGCAATGGGTCACATCCGACTGTGATGCTGTTCAGAACGTCTACCTCCCGCACCAGTGGTCATCATCTCGTGGAGGCGCTGCTTACGACTCCCTGAAGGCCGGTACCGATCTCACGTGCGGTACTTACATGCAGGAGCACCTCCCCGCTGCTGTCCAGCAAGGTCTTCTCGACGAAGCTGTTCTTGACCAGGCCCTTGTCCGCCAGTATTCTTCGCTCGTTCGTCTTGGCTACTTCGACTCTGCCGACAACCAGCCCTACCGTCAGCTCGGCTTTGACGCGGTTGCCACCAATGCTTCGCAGGCACTCGCACGCAGGGCCGCTGCCGAGGGTATCGTTCTGCTGAAGAACGATGGTACGCTACCGCTCTCTGTTGATTCGTCTACGTCAATCGGCCTCTTCGGTGACTGGGCGAACGCAACCGATCAGCTCCTCGGTAACTACGCTGGTGTTGCCACTTACCTTCACTCTCCTCTGTACGCTCTTGAGCAGCTCAACGTTACCATCAACTACGCTGGCGGAAACCCTGGAGGCCAGGGCGACCCAACGACCAACCGTTGGTCCAACCTCTATGGCGCGTACTCTACCAGCGATGTCCTAATGTACGTCGGTGGTATCGACAACAGCGTTGAGGCGGAAGATGACGACCGTACTTACCTCACATGGACTGGGGCTCAGCTCGATGTTATCAGCCTGCTCGCCGACACCGGAAAGCCAGTCATCGTCGTGGTCACTGGAGGTGGACAGATTGACAACACTCCTCTCGTAAACAACCCCAACATCTCTGCCATTCTCTGGGCCGGATACCCCGGTCAAGATGGAGGTTCCGCTATCATCGACATTGTTACCGGAAAGACTGCTCCTGCTGGACGTCTCCCTACGACCCAGTACCCCTCCAACTACATCGCCCAGGTTTCTATGATGGACATGAACATGCGCCCTGGCGAGAACAACCCTGGTCGCACTTACAAGTGGTACAACGGTTCCGCCGTCTACGAGTTCGGTCACGGTCTGCACTACACCAACTTCTCCGCCGAAGTCACTAGCGAGCTTCAACAGAGCTACGCCATCTCTGCCCTGACTCAGAACTGCAACAGCACCGGAGGATTCCTCGAGCGTTGCCCCTTCGTATCTGTCGATGTCGAGGTCTCCAACGATGGCGATGTTAGCTCTGACTACGTTACTCTTGGCTACATTGCTGGAGAGTTCGGTCCTGCGCCCCACCCCAAGAAGTCGCTCGTCTCTTACAAGCGTCTTCACAACATTGCTGGAGGCTCTTCTGCCACTGCTACTCTCAACCTTACTCTCGCGTCTCTTGCCAGGGTGGACGATATGGGCAACAAGGTCCTATACCCAGGTGACTACACCATGATGATCGACAACCACCCGCTTGCGAGCGTCAACTTCACCTTGACTGGAGAGCATGCGATGCTAGACATGTGGCCTCAGCGTCCTAACCAGACTGCTCAGGGCGTCGAGTACGTTGGTGATTACTGGTATGGAGGTTACGGTAGCGACTATGGTGCTGAGCCTGCGGAGTTCCAGAGCACCATGTAAATGTGTCCCGTATACCTAAGTGTACGATGGAACGTATGTAGAAATCTATTGAATGACTACCATATTGATCGCAACACCTGCAACGTCCGCGTACATTTCCAACTTTACTTCCACCTTCACCTTCGGGCCTACGCTCGGGCCACTGTTTTTGTTTGCTACAGCAACCAGCTTTTTTCATATTTTCACACCCACTCATTCTCTCCAACATACCCCGCCTCAATACCTAACGACAAAATCGAAGCACCAATGGCACTCTGCGACGAGTGCGACAACGAGGGCGCGCAGCGTTGCGGCGGTTGCAGCTCAAGCTGGTATTGTTCGAAGGCCTGCCAGAAGAAGGCATGGCCACTCCACAAAGTCCTCTGCGACAGCTTCAAAGACTTTCAAGACCGCCCAAAAGCCGAATGGCCTGGTGAGAAGTACACCCGCGCTATCTACTTCCATTACGACGAAGGCGCGCCGCGATTCGTTTGGCTCAGAACCTGCACTGTAGCCGGAGACGAGTACCCGTGGCTGATGACCTTTCCCGAAGCTCTCACCACCATCAACCAAGAAGAAGCAGACTCTGAAGAGTACGCCCGGATGAACAAGGACGAGATCTGCCACAACTACGCTCTCGCCCGCCGACTGCCGTACAATATTGTGGTCTCATCCAGGGACAACTTTCTCAATGATGGGTCCACACACAACAAGGCCAGCAACAAGATCATTGACTTCTATTCCCGTCACTTGCACGAGTGGCGCGGTCCTATGATTGCGCATGGTACCGACGTCTACGACGACAACCCTCTCCGCCGGGAACCGTCCTACAGCCAGGACCTGGGCCCCTCGGATCTGAAGATCATCGCACACTGGCTGAACACCTACTTGTACAAACCCCATACTCCCCCAAACATCAAGAGTATCCAGCAAGAGTTCCGTGCCGTATCTGGTGTTCGGATCAATTGCGATGGAGATGTCGACGTTGACGGTCGTCCGCGTTTTGAGCCAATGGAGCTTCCCGCTTACCACAGGCTCTTCAACCAGGCTGCCACCGACATTTCAAAACATATCGAGCTACCTATCGTTATCCAACGCGTGCCTAGAAGTGTTACTTATTGGAAGAAGCGCTCAGACCCTCGTGACAAGGCACCTTGGGTTAACAGAGCGGCTACCTTCCTTAATAGAGCCTGTCAACCCGAGCGCGAAGAAACTGGCGATTTGGACTATGTTTGGGGTTTTGCACATACACATTGGCAGGGCGATGTTGGTGCGGTTATGGTCATGCGTAAGGACAAGAAGACGCTGCTCGAAGAGCATGTTGATGCACTTGCCGAATATCACGAGGATTACCTGTCAGACTTCTTCCAGGAGAAGTGGGAGAGTTCGCACCCGGGTGTCGAGCCTGAGTTGCAGCGTAGCACAGCGTGGGTTATGCAGGAGATCACCAAGGCCAAGTTCGAGGACTTCTACGTGGATTGGAAGTTAAGGCAGTCGGACGAGGCGAAGAAGCAGCAGATCTCTCCCTACGATGTCTAGTGCTGCTGCGAGCTCGGTACCGGGCCGACCTGGAGATTGTTCGTTCGTTCAGAGAGCTCAGCATCGAGGTGAGCGAAGGTGTCCGATTCGCAAGGATCTGAAGTAGGTGATGCGCTCAAACCGCATGTATATTCGCCTCGGTTTCAAGAAGAGTGTTGCCTAGCTCGTCATTAGTAGAGCTCCACGGTTACAATACGAAACCATCCAAATCACACTCTCGTTCCGT